AAGAAGAAGAAGAAGAACGATCATATACAAAACTAACTTCAACTTTTTCGAACCCAGGGAAGTCAGAAGAAGGTTGGGAAGGGATTGAAGTTTTTGCAAGGAAAGTAAAATTAATTTTTTTGGCATTAGAATAATTTGCTGAAACACCCCCCCAATGTTTATTATCGTTATCATTCATCCACTTATCCCACCAACCTTTTTCTAATGCTAATTCCTCGGCCAATTCCTCTTTGGTTTTTGTGGCTAAATCTAATTGGGTTTGTAATTCATTCTTTTTTTGGGCTAAGTCTGTGATAGTTTGCTGATTATTGAACTTTTCTATTTCACTTTTAGCCAAACTGATTAATTTTTGCCGAATTTCTTCATAATTATCTCGTAATTGAGTTCATTCATTATCGTTTTGAACTTTTTTTAATTCTTCCTGTCAAAACTCATCACCAAAAAACATTGGAGCATCCATTCCCAAATCTTCTCCACCTTTTAAAAAACTCATCAATTTCCTTTCTTGCTCATTCAAATCCCCTTCTTTTAATTTCTCCTCTAAATCTTTATTTCTATTTTCTAATTGTTCTTGGGTTTCTTTACCCTCAATTAAAGAGTTTACTAGTTCTAATAATTTGGTTCTGATGTCTTGGTAATTAGGGCGTAGTTTATGTGAAAAATCCCTTTCTAAATTTGTTAAAGTTATTTTTAAAGTTTGGAAATTCACATTTTTTCAGGTTTGTTGTTTCACATATTTTGATAATTCTTGTTCGGCGGGATTAAGTTTGGTTTGGTCTTGGAGATTTTTGATTTCTTGTCTTAAATTTGCTAGTTTATTTTGTAAAGCAGAGACTTTATTTTGTTCTTTTTGGATATCTTGCTTGTATTTTTCTAAAGTCTCTCATTGTTCGGTTTTGGGGATGGTGATGTTGGTTTGAGTGCCAAATTCCCTTTTGGGTTTATTTAAAATAGCGACTACCTGCTGGGTTCTTGGAAGTAAACCTGTCGCTTGAGAAACTTGCCCTAAAATAGCATAAACCTGCTCGTCTACTCTTTGGATTTGTTCAATTATCTGGGCTAAATTGGTTAATTTTTCTCTTAAATCTTGAATTTCAGTATCTCTTATTCGTTTGTTTTCTTCATTCAAGTTTTCTAATTCTTTGATTTTTTCCGCTAACTGGGTTTTTTCTTGCTCCAAACGAGTAATATCTTCTTCTAAATGAGTGGCTTGTTCTTGGCTAATATTTTTATCCTGCTTTTCTTTTTCTAATTGTTGTTTCAGTTGGTCGACATAATTGTGTTGTTTATTGAATATTTTGGCCGTGCCTTGGAATAATTTTTCTAGTTGGGTCAGGCGGTTGTTTTTTTGGGTGATTTCAACTTCTTGGGCCGTTAATTTAGTTTGTAAATCGTATTTTTCTTCTTGCAGATTATTTGTTTTGGTTAATATATTATCAAATTTAACTTGGATATTTTTGAGAGGCATTGTCTTTTAAAATTTTAGTCTTCTTCGGCACTTTGGTAGTCGCTATGCTCGTCTTCCTCCTGGCTAATTTCCGTCAAGGTATTTATTCAGTTGTTTAAACTTTCATCACTTTCTCAATCATTTAAGGGTTGACGACCGGCTAACTTTTCCCGAGCGAGAAATAATTCTTCCTTGGCATAAATTTGAAATAAGTCGGTAAAATTCTCCTTAGTAAAGGCTCATAATTTCGGCAAGCCAGCTTGATTATAAAAAGTTTCTAAAGCCAAAAACTTGGTTCGGAAATCTAATAATTCCCACTCGGTTCCTATTAAATCATTAACTTCGTTTTCTAAATTATTGCGATTGGCGATTAGTTCGCTTTTTTCCTCAGTCACCGCTTCTTTTTCCCCGGTTAAACTAATTATCTCCGTCTTAGCCTCCGCAAAAGCCTGACTTAAATTGCCCAATTCATCAAAATCAGAGGAAAAATTATGAAATTTCAGTATGTCTAAACACTTCTTGCCTAAATTTTGATAATCTTTTTGTAACTTCTCATGTTCTCGTAGTAACTTAAAATAACCGGCCGGAGTAGCTTTTTCCAAAGCTTCAATAGCCCGATCCTTAACATTAATTTCTCGCTCCAATTTTCCTATTATCTTTCTCAATAAATCCTCCTTGTGAATATCCTGGCTAAGAAGGAAATTATAAGCAGAAGAAGAATTAAATTGGTGCCTCTTCCCTACTCAATCATCTTCCCGGACATATTTACCTGAATGTTTCATGAATTATTCCTTTATTTAAACAATAATATTCATTGATTTATTATGAGTAATAATATAAGAGACCTTATTGCCTCTTTCTTGCTCCTCATATTCAAACTCAATTTCTTTAATTTCTTGATAATGTTCGGCTAAATCTTTTCAACTATCCCTTAACTTATTTTGAAAGCAAAAATAGGCTTGTTTAGTATCATTATCAAAGATAATATAAAAATCCTCTCCTTTAATATTTTTCCTTTTATCGATAGAGGCATTATTTAGTTTAACGGATTTAAGACTGCTATTCATATTTAGTAAAAATAAAATGATTAGGCTGAAAATTATAAAATGCTTTTATTTTAGTAAGGCAATTAAAACAAACAACAGGCCTTTCACTTCAATCCAAATTTTTAGACAAAGTCATTTCAGTTGATTTACAAAAAAAACATTTACCCGCTAAATCTTTTTGATACTCTCTTAACAGGCAATTGGCTCTTTTTTTAGGGTTCTTGACATCATTAAAAAGTATTGATTTAGAATATTCATAAGTTCCTAGTTCAGGGAAATTATTGACACCTCTTTCTATTTCCTGGTTATTCATATTTATTAATATATTTTTTGTTTTTTCTTCTCACTAGCAGATTAAAAAGCAATATTACTTTAAAACATATTATATAGATAGCGAATTGTGTAATAAGTTAACCAATAATAGAAATCTTTATCTATATATTTCTATAAGAATAATATTTATATAAATGAGGAAACAATATGGTAAATAAAAGAAATCAAAAAACCGAAAAAGAAAAGATAACTGAAATTAGAAAAGCAGCAATAGAGGAAGTTAAAAAATTAAAAAAAGAAGGCAAAAGTATAACCACTAATGCTGCGGAAGTAATTTGTAGAGAGAAAGATATATTTCACAGCAAATCCAAGAAAAAAAAATAGAGAATGCAAGAGATTATCGCTCATTTAATTAACAAAGTCTATCACTTTTATCAAGGAAAAATATTTCCAGAGCAAGAAACAAAAGAAGTTTCTCATTTTCTAGAGTTTGGTGGTTTTCAGCTAAGTTATGATTGATATGGTCGTAGCCGATTAAGTGGGGAAATATTGGGTAAATTGGTAATTTATAAAAAAGTTATTCATCTTGACAACCGTTTCCTTTACAAGTTGGCTGATTTACATAGTTTTAACGATGGCTATCATGAAGAATATAATCTAGAACGATTAATTCACACTATTGCTCACGAAGTGGCACATTGTCTATTAGGCGATTATAGTTTAGAATTATTCAAATATCACGGGTGATTTCATGATAGGTTAACCACTTTATTAGAAACTTATCTTTGGAACACAGAAGAAGTTAAGGAATTAGCAAGACTACAAAAAAGGTATATTAAAGCAAAAGAACCTAAATAGGGCTATATAAGATGTAAAATTTTTATTTAGGCGAAACTTGAATTTCCGCTACTAACTCTTGTCGAACCAATCGTTCTTTTAATTCCTTATTTTCTTTTTCCAATGCCTTCTTGGCTTCCAACTCTAATTTAATTATCTTCTGATAATGGCTATCCACATTCTTAGCATGTTGCCTTTCAATTTCTAACTCCTCTTCTTTTTCCCGCTCCAACCTCCCTATTATTTTTTTAATTCAACCACCAACGCTTTTAGTCTTTTAGTTCTTTCTCTTTCCATAATCAAAAACTTATTTTCCGGCATTTGAGGATGAATTTCTAATTTATCTTTTTCTCCATCAGTATATTTTAGTTTCTTATCTAATAAGGCAATTGCGGCTTCATCATCAACTGAAATTAATTCCGGATGATTAACCAACTTTCAAAGATGAACATCAAAACTACTCATCGAATAAGTATCGCAAGGAAAAACTTCAAAACAAGGCACATCTCCTCCAAAGCCTTCTAATTTTTTCTCATAATCAGTATACTTACAGTCAAAATATTTTAATTTTTCTGAGGGCAATTCTTCCAATCCTCCTTCAATATTTTCCTGACCACGGATATTTAAATATTCTAAATCTTGACAGTCCTTTAAATCCTCCAAAGAACCTGAAAAATCATTATTGTCATTACTACCACTACTTTTTCCTACAAAATACCAACTATTTCCGCGAAAACCAATAAATAATTTCTTAATTTTGGTCAAATGAGAAAAAATATCTAAATCAGCCTTAATTTTATTTTGATAAATAATAATTTCCTCTAATTCATTATTATTACTTAAATCCAAAGTAGTTAATTTATTTCTACCGGCATTTAATTTAACCAAATTTTCACATGCAGTTATATCCAATTCAGTTAAATAATTGTTCGAGCAATCTAATTCCTCTAAACCAGTAAAGTCAGTTAAATCCAGTTTGCCATTTAATCTACCTTCCTGAATACTATCTCCATTCAAATTTAACTTTTTTACATTATCCCGATCAGCGGGGTAATTTTTTTCTAAATATTCTTGAGCGTTTACCATATTATTATTATTTTGCTTTATTATTTTCTACTTCTACTTCTCCCTTAGTTTCTAACCTTTTTTTCTCTTCCTCTTTCGCCAATTTTTTCTCTTCCTCCACCAAATCTCCAATCCTAAACGCACTTTCTCCATCCTTGATTAAATTATATTCCTCTCCCTTAAAATTCTCATAACACTGCCGCAAAAAATATTCACTCTCTTGCTGTCAAATATTCTCAAAACTTTCAAACTGTTCTTCAACCATTTCAATTTCTTTAACATTATGTCGTTCCTCTTTTTTAGAAGTATTGTAAGCAATACCATTAAATCTTCGCCACAAACCAAATTGATAATCAATCATTTGCTTGATGACGGGAAATTTACTCTCTACATTTCAGGGGTGTAAAGTTAGTGGTTTGCCATCCCCTAGGGAAGCGTAAACTATCATATTAAAAGAATCAATATTTTCTCTTATTCTTTCTTTTTGTTGTTGAGTTGGATAAAAATGTGTTTCAATAAATATTCTTGTCCGGGAAGCTTCAGCGTCAAATGCCCCTACTTGATAAAGACAATCGATAAATTCTAACATTTGTTCACTCCCAGTAAAATTAGGAGTTCTATCCATATTATTAAGCAAAATAGCAAATTCCTTGGGATTGGTTAAAGTTTCAGAAGTCTCGGTAGCTTTTGCACTCTCCGCACTAACTCCCCCTCACCGATTAATATAATTAACCGTAATACTTTCTATTTCCCCAGTCCCATTAGTAGTCAAATTAACAATACCAGCGACGCGAAAAGCGTCGGCTACTTTCACTAAGGCAACTCAGCCTTGTTCCGAACGAACTTTTTGCAGTAAGGGCCAAAGTCCATTTTCCGTAATGGGATTATTACCTTTTAAATGGAATTTACCAATTAAAACATTATGACCCCAAGTTCTAATGGCCTGTTTAAGGGTCATTCGTTCTGGATTAATAGGGGTTCTCCGATAATTATCAACAACTTTTTTAATTGTATCTGTCATTAAATCTTACTTTATTTATATCTAGATTAAAATTATTTTACACTAATTTGCGGACATTTAAGTTTTCTAATTCTTTGTAATTTGTCTTGTAATTTAGTTAATTGTTCTTTTCAGTTGGGCGGCAAATCTTTTACTTCTAATTTCTCATAGACCGCTAATTTGTGCTTATCTTCTTTGGTTAAAACTTGTAAAACAATATCATCTTCTCAACCTTGTTCAATATCACCAAACTTTTCTTTTATTTTTTGCCGAGGTAAATTAGCCAAGAGGATTTTCAGCAAACTATTTCGCTTAACTCGTCAAGTATTATCAGTTTCTAACAAATCACTTACTAAGCGACTATCTTGTAATTCCCTAGTTAAAACTGATATTTGTTGATCTTTTTCAGTTAGTAATTTGCTAGTTTCTTCTTTTAGTTGCTGAATAACAGATTTTAATCCGGATATTTGTTGGTCCTTATCTTTCAATTCTACTTCTAATGATTGTAATCTTTCGCAATAGTTAGTTGCTTGCTTAGAGTGAAAATTTATTTCTTTTTGCTTCGCCAAAACTTCTTTTTCTAATCGTTTTATTTTGCGAGTAGCCGGGGAATTTTCCTCCTCCAAAAAGTTGGGAATTTCTAATGATAAACTCTTCCCATTGTTCATATTGAAATTTTTTAGGAACTAGAAGTGTTGGCCAATTGTTCGTTCTTAACCTCTAATAATTTCTTTAGTAAATAAAGACTGCCATCAAAATCATATTCTTTGTTATATTCCTTACCATCACATCATTTTTCAAAAAGTTGTTGATAATTCTTGGTTTGCTTAGCCTCGTCCATTCACAGCAATATTTGATAAGCCCTATTCTTTTTTTCTTCTGATTTAAGGCTGAAAATCAGTCTAGAATCTTGAAAAGTTAGATCACCCTTATTATTTAAATAATCTCGTCATTTTTGTCCCGTCTCCTCTAATAATTTGGCTATTCTTGTTTGGGCTTGCTCGAAATTAACTACCGGCTCAACCAAGACATATCTTTTGGTTCTTTCATTTTCTAAGTATTGATCAATGGTCCTGCATAAATCCTCAATTTCTTTTTGGCATTCAGTAATTTTTGATTGGGCTTCGGCTAATTGTTGGTTTTGCTCGGCATATTTATCTAGCGTAGGACGACAAGCATAATCATCTCAAAATTCTTTTTCCGTAACAGAAGAAATATCCGGGCGTTTATTTAATAGGTCTCATTTTTCTTTAACTGCCGTGAGTTCCTGGCCTTCCCAGGTTTGAGTTCACTTGTTTAAATCATTAGTTAACTCGGTAATTTCTTTTTTTAATTCTTCTTGCTTTTTTAATAATTGTGTTTGTTTTTCTTCTACTTCACTCGGGGTTTGATCTTTAAAAGTTTGCTTTCAACTATTTAATTCGGTTTCAGTTTGATTTTTCTTTTCTTCTAACTGATTTATTTCCTCTTGAACTTCACCAGGTTTTTTCTCACCAAAAATATTGGTTCAACTAGTCAAATTATCCTTAACTTGAATATAATTAGCCAATTGGCCTTCTAAATATTTTAAGCGAACTAGTTGCTTTTTTCAATCGTCTGGTAAATCCTGAACTTTTAAATTATCGTAGGCATCTATTTTTTCTTGATCGGTAGCCGTTTTTACAGGCTCTACTCTTTGACCTTTAGCTTCTTTTAAAGATCCAATCTTTTCTTTAATAGTTTCTTCTGGTAAATGAGATTTGACTATCTCCGCAAAAAAAGTCGGGTCAGTTTGCTCTTGTGGAGGAATATCACTTACATTTTCTGCTTTTTTAATTTCGCTGTCGTTCATATTATTTAAAATTCTGGATTGGTGTTAAGTAATTCTTTATATTTCTTAAAATAGCCTGTTAATTCATCTAAACTGCCATCAAAGTCGTAAGTGGGGTTATATTTTTCTCCTCCACTTCACTCTTTAATCAATTCTTCATAAGTGTGATTAGTTTGAGCTTTAAGAACTAATTTTAAAATTTGTTGTCCTTTGGTTCTTAGAATGGGGTCCCTAAAAGACAAATGTAATAAAGCATATTCTTTTCTTTTTTCCTCATCACCTAGAAAATATTCCTTTCATTCCGTAGCGGTCTTGGCTAATCGTCGTTGGATAGCCTCCTCGGCTTGTTTGAGAGTTTGAATAGGTTCGGGCAATACTAATTCTTTCTGATAGAGAACATCATCTGTCTTTTTGATAATTTTACACAATTCTTTATTTTCTTGTCGGAGAGCTTCTAAATCAGTGGATAAATTAACTAAGGTGTTGGTGATATTAATGTTGGTAATCGTGGATAAGTTTAGACCAATAAGTTTATTTAGGTAAGGATTATCCGCCACCATCAATTTACTAATTTGCGAACAATTAGCCAAATTTAGAGTAGTTAATTCATTCCCACCCGCAATTATTTC